AATTTACATAATCGACATCAATTATTTCAACTAATCGGTGCAGCCCTACTGTCAACGCTCTCTGGTTTCATTTAAAAGAGTCGATCATCAGATATTGTCCAAGATTAACCTTCAGGGTGGATATAGCTCGCTAGCAGCCTCGCAACGAGGACCTATCCACGTCATCATTTACCCAGAATGCTTTGTGTGTAAATAAAATGGCTCAGTCCAAGTTAAAACATATTTTTAAAATTTTTAGTTTAAAAATGATAAAAACTAAACAGCCTACAGTATTTTTAAAGTCTTTGTTTTACAGTTAAAATATATGTTTATTAAATAAAGTCTAATGTTACAACTAATCGTGGATCCATTTAAACATGTCTACATGAATGTAATCTACCTTTGCTTGTGCCATCTGGTCCTCTCAGAACAGTACACTCCTCTATGCTGCCAAAGGGCTCAAACAGCCTTCTGACATCCTCGTCGCTCTGTTGCTTTCCCAGCATGCCTACAAACAACTTCCTGTCCTCTGGGAGGCAGACAAAGAGGAAACAGAAAACAGAAAAACAACTTTAACTTTACTTAAACTTGTGATAAGTATACCAGTAAAGGTTGGAGCTGTAGAAGTAACTGTTAGTGGAAGCCTATAATCACGTCCACCAGGGGGCAGTGTCGGCTTTAAACACTTAGAGGGGAGCAGGAAAGAGTAGCAGCGAGTCCAAGAGTCTGCCAAGCACCCCTGCTGACTTCTACTGTCTCTGTCTGATCCAGATCGACACCGTCTATTTGTCACACTTTGTCTGTGGGTGGACACATTTTAGCTCGAGCGCAGAACATTTTAAAACCCTTTTTATATTTGACCAAAACGTACGCAGACCTGGGTTTTTATAGAAAAGGTTACAGTGAAACGTAATGTCAGTCAGCCTCCTCACAATGTCAAAAAGTCACCTGTTTGTGTGCGTTTTAGTGTGTGTGTGTGTGTTTTAGTGTGCGACTCACCTCCTCGGCCCTCACTGTCAGCCGGTTTTACCTGGATTGGTCGATTCATCTAAGGGACAAACAGAAAAAAGACGTCAACAAAGAGGCTCGGGTTGAAGAAGTCTTTTCAAATGTCTTGTTTTTGTTCTCTGTGCGCGCTTTTAGGTCAGTCTACAGTAATATTTTTTCCTTTTAAAATAAAAAAACTACGTTCAAACAAAAAATAGAACACTGAAATTGAAATGGCCGGCTTCAAAACATTCAAAAGTGTTTGTTTTTCACCCAAATGTTTTAGTTAAGGAGCTTAAAGTGCCTGTGACATCAATTTTTTGTAATAAACATGAATGCATTTTTGGAAAGATAACACTGATAACATGTTGCAAAACAAATTTCACATCACTGAGATGAACGGTTGTTGAGATATTTGGATGTGAAGAAACAGGAAGTGATGTCAAAGGGGAATGTCTGCATGTAAGCAGAGCGTTGTTACAAAAGCTAACAATACAGAAGAATCTGATGTTTCTTGAGATTTCTTTAGTCGCTATCAAAGAGAGATGAAGAAGAGCTAAAGTTTAAACAATTTTGTTTTAATAAACAGAGACCAGCACGTTTATTTTATTAAAGAGTTCCCTTTTGATGTCACTTCCTGTTTCACTCTGGCTGAGCCAAATTCAAAAGAAAATAGGCCAGTTATGTGACAAAATGGGTAAAATTGTGTATACTATGCCAATTTTCTTAAGAATAAAGTAGCTTTCTTTGACTTTTTGTATTTCAAAGATAGGCGTGTCACAGGTACTTTAATGTGTCTGAATCCATTTGTTTGTTTGTTTTTAGTCAGAATAAACCCAGTTGTCCACATTATTGTCTGCTCTGTGTCTCACACTGTTTTAGCTCAGGTACCTTTGATTTCTCACACACACACACACACAGAGGGATTGAGAAGTGGCGAGATTAGGAATGCAGGCTAGCTGATCTGGATTACAAAAGATGTGAGGATTAGATGAGGGAGGAGAGGACGCCGAAAGAGAAGAAGCAAAACGGGGGGAGAGAGATAATGTTGCAGAGCGCATCAAAGGAAACGGGCACAGCCAACTAAAAATAAAAAGGGGATGAAGGAAACGAGTCAGAGGGAGAAGCCTGGGGGACCCCAGCTGACTTCGATCGCCTGAAAAGGGCAGGTGGCCAAGAGGAACCCGGGGAGAAAATGGAAACTATAGAAGAAGAAAAAAAAGAAGTATTACATGAAAAGTGAGACAGAGAAAGGCCAAAATTGACGGCATGAAAGCAGAGCTGCCCCTGAGAGATCGTTCAGAAAAATAAATGTGAAAAAAATTGAGAAAGGAAATACATATTTTTTAAAAAAGTGTGTTGGGGGTCCTGTCATAAAAAATCTAAGCTACAGAGATGCTGCTACTGTCGGGAAACGTTCACTGCAAACACAATCTGATCGCCTCCTTTCATACACCCCTGAGGTTGTGCTCATTCATACATTAAAATAGATAAAACCACACACACACACACAGACTCACAATGCTTAGTCATACCACTGAGGCAAACAGACAATGTGTTGATGCCTGGGGCCTTGGGTGGGGGGGAAGAGGAGCTACAGAACGATGGCGTCAAAAAGAGGGAAGGAGTGCTGAGAATAAAATAAAAAGCAAGAGGATGGATCCAGATTCTAGAGGGATGGAGACAGGAGAGAAGACTGAAGAGGAAGTCACATTTATGAAAATGAAAAGAAAACACGACTTTTTCAAAATAACATAAACTCTTTGTCGGTAAAAAAACTGGATGGTGTTTAAAAATGGTACGCACGTTCAAATCGAAGAGGAGTTTTTGAGAGATGGGGAAATCAGGAGGACAGTGGGCGACAGAGAGAAGGTAGAGGAGGGAAGGGATGAGAAGGAGAAATGGATAAAGGTCCCAGTGGGGTGTTAAGGCAATGTAATGAAGCTGGTAATTGAGGAGAGGGCAGAGCAGAGAGGCAAAGATCCATGCATTTGATTAATCAGCTCTTAGCTGTCACCACAAAGCTATTGATCCGAACGAAGCAAGGCCGTCTCACAAGACACAGACGCTAAAACATCACACACTTCTCCGTGAGACCCGTACACCCTAACGTGTCGCCAAGCAGAGAAGAGGACGTGTTTTCAACCCTGAACACCTATATTGACACGAGCTGTCAGTATGAACACAAACTTACAGGAAGACTCACATATCAGTATCCACCTATCCATCCATCATATCCTTTGTCCTAATGCTACTGCTGTCCGTCCACGCTGTCATCCATCTTGGCCCAGCAGCTCATTGATCAGCCCCGTCTTGTCCATTGATTTGGGATTCTGCTGTAAAGCAGGGCTGATTGTTGCAAAGATTTGTGTCCACTAACCTTTTCTCTAACCTTGCATCAATCTGTCACCATTGTCAGCTTCTTCCACTATTAAAGCCTATCCAAACTCAGCTCTGTTCACGTTAAAACAAGCCCGCCCAGCCCTGGTAAGTCCAAACACAGTCTGAACACACAGTCAGAGCAGACTCTATCTGCTGAGGAGGCTGAGGTCTTTCGGAGTGCAGGAGGTGCTCCTGAAGACCTTTGTTGACACAGTTGTGGCTTCATCCATCTTTTATGGCACCGTTTGTTGGAGCAGCAGCTTATCTACAGCTGAGAGGAAGCAGCTGGATAAGCTCTTCAAGAAGGCCAGCTCTGTGCTGGGACGCCCCCTCGAACCAGTGCAGGTGGTGGGAGACAGAAGAACTCTGGGTAAAATAACATCAATGACAGAGAACGTCTCCCACTCCATGCATGGAACTGTGGCTGAACTGCAGAGCTCCTTCAGTGACAGACTGCTGCATCCTAAATGTACAAAGGAGCGTTACTGCAGATCCTTCCTTCCATCAGCTGTTAGACTCTACAACCATCAGCTGTTAGACTCTACAACCATCAGCTGTTAGACTCTACAACCATCAGCTGTTAGACTCTACAACCANTCAGCTGTTAGACTCTACAACCATCAGCTGTTAGACTCTACAACCATCAGCTGTTAGACTCTACAACCATCAGCTGTTAGACTCTACAACCATCATTGCTCCTAACAATCTCGATAATCATCCATGTTTGTGTTTGCACATCAAACAACTCTACCTCTCAATCATTACATAAATAATAACCAGTGATAATTGTACATTGTTTTTGCGGTCTTGGAACACTGACTTCATGACTGAGCTTGACTCATTTTGCACACCGCCTTGGATCACGAGCCTGTCATGACTTTTTCCTGTAATTTTTGTATTTTTCTGCACAGTATTTTTAAGCACAGTATCTGCTTCTATTTTCATTTTTATCTAATTTCATCTTGATAGTCTGGTACAGTAATTATTATTATTATTTTGATCTATGTTTATTTTTAATTGTTACTATCTTTAATTTTATTATTATTGCTACTAGGGATGCACTGATACCAGTATCGGGTATCGGTCCGATACCATGTGCGTTAACTMGTACTCGTACTTGTAAAAGTGCTCCGATACTACAGGACCCGATACCAGCTTCATTTCACTCAGTTTGTGCATAGACGCTCTAAACCAGCAGGCGGCGGAATCGCGCAACAGACTTAATGCCAGCTGCATAAAAAAACAGAAGAAGAAGACGACGACCACGTTAGCCGAGCTGAACAAACTTTAACAAGCAAGCAGTTTGTAGAGGAGGCGTTATGTCAGCGGTGTGGAGGTATTTTCAGGTGACAGTAGTAAGACGTCATCCCTGCTGTGACCGTGTTTCTGAGACTCCTAAACAAAGACACTGGTGAAGATCACAGGATCAAAACAATGAAGTCCACTTTGGCTGCAGCTGTCAAGAGGCGCTTCACTGATGCTGAGAAAAACCCCTCTACTGCATCTCAACTGTACTGGATCCAAGGTAAATTAAATAAATAAAAATGATTAAAAATAATAATATAAGCCTTGATTTGCCTAAAAATATTTTTTTATTTTTATAAACGTTTATTTGCCAAGTAATCTGATGGAGGAAAAATCATTATGACCAAGCTACAACATGTTACAAATTAAACATTTATTACTTAATTGCAATTAATTTAACATACTACAAAGTTTATTTAGCTTAGTTTATTTATATAGTTGATGGTACAATGCTCTAATATTCAGTGAGGGACCTGTAACACATTTTAGATAACTTGAGCCGATCATTAAAATTTTTACATCTACGATGAAGATGGCATAAAAAATAAATCAACTGGAAGTCTCTTTTAGGTGTTTTAGGTTTATTTATTTATTTTTTGTACATGGTGTCATAGTATGGTTATATGACAGTAAAATGGTTTTAAACCAATAGTAATGTACTTTGTTTATTTATGTTTGAAGTGCCTACTGAAAATAAAACAGTTTAAGTTAATTATAAGGATTTTTAAGGATATTAATTAGTACTTGTATCGGTACTTGGTATCGGCAAGTACTTTAATGTAAGTACTTGTACTCGTACTCGGTTTTCAAAAATCTGGTATCGGTGCATCCCTAATTGCTACAGTTGATAATGACACATAGCAATATACTGTTTCTGTGGATTGATGTATCTGCTGCTGCTACTATACCTGAATTTCCCCACATGGGACAATAAAGGCTGTTTCTATTCTATTCTATTCTATTCTATTCTATTCTATTCTATTCTATTCTATTCTATTCTAAAACATGCACCTTGAGACGTTACGATCTGAAGAGCGAAATGGGAATTTTAGAATTCAAGGTATTGAGAAAGACGAGGAGGGGGAACCTGAGGAGGAGCAGCAGGTGAGGAGAACGCACGGCACAACGGCGTCGGAGAATCGGCACGGCAACCGGCCCGTTGCCACGGCAACCACGTGACGGCACACTGGGTAGGTAAACAGGGATGCTGGTTGCCAGGGGCAACTGCTGTGCTCTTTGGGTAAACAAAGAAATTAGTGCCGGAGAACAGTTCTCCGGCTTTGTGCTCTGCATCGAAACGTCCCTGAGCACATTATTCTCAGTGCGCTCTGAAATAACAAAAACAATTTTAAAAAATTAGGAGCGGGAGCTCCG